TTGTTTCTTCCATACACTCATCTAACCAGACGAGTGAATAATTTTGAGGTATGTGTCGCCTTGGTTGAATAGCATTCGATGGTATCATAGTCGTGTTATTGTTATTCATAAATGCGTTTTATGATGAGAAAGGTTTTTGATTTGATCTTGATGCACACGTTTTGTACTTTTTTTTATAATTTGACGTTGAATATAAGCTTGACAACAGTTATTTTTGTCTGAACAGTAAGAAAACTCACCGCTCTTATTTATAATGGTAATGGAGTATTTTTTTGTTCTTCTCAGTATCCCAGGTCGATTATTACGAACTTCGTAAACGATTGAATACGACCGTATCCGGAAAAAATACGACCATATACGATCGTATTTCACCGTTTTTTGCCGTATTACTTGTGGCCGTATTACGATCGTATGTCTCCGTACCGTATACGGAATAGTATGATCGTTTACGGAGAAAACGGTCGTGCGCGGTCGTATTTCTCCGTATACGATCGTTTACGATCGCGCTTGTTTGACCTTGGTATGCAAAATACGTGGTTTTTTTGCCAGGACTCAAAAAGAAACTTCAACTAGTTACTATTTAAGATACTGTTGTGAAGAGTAAAAGACAAATCGATACAAATAAATTTCTTAACAACGTCTGCAACAGAACGAACAAATAAGAAGCTAATTAATGATAATGTTTTACAGTTATTTTTTCCAATTCTCTGTTTCCTTCATTTGTGTAATTACTGCAGTATGTCAATGTGCGTGTGGCATTTTCTCATTAAAATGGAAGAGAAAAGGAAATATAAATTATTCAGCAAATGTTTACTCTCTTCATCGTGCATTGTTTTAAATCGATGCAAGGAATTTGTTAGAGCAAAAGAACTGTATCAATGAACAAGAAATAGATATTGATTTGAGAATATTGTAGAAACGTTATTGTTTTCTATTAGACAAACAAAAATATTTAGTACGAACACATTTAAAAAATTTGTGTTGTAAATAGTTTTTGAAAACTACAAAATTGTTAGAGCTAAAGATATTAGAAGACTTTTTCACAAATAATAATATGGTACATCATCTATCTAATTTAGTAATTCAAGTTTTATAATTTAAACACAGAATACTATTTTTGCAAGGAAAAGTAACTATCATTCATTCCTGATACCAGTTGAAAAATAAGTTTTCTCTCAAGAGAGAAGTAGTCGAAAACTTATCGAATTGCCTGTCAGACGATGTTATTTGGACAAGAGGAAATCTTTTCTATAAGATATTAAAGTGACTTACTTGTGAAATGAATTCGTTATCAAATCATCTTCTATTTATTCTATTGTATATCAGTACGACTATTTCAACACAACATTGATGATCTTGTTGTGATAAACATTGTATACATATATATAGTAATAGAGACCATCACAAGTAAATGAAAACAATACTCTTAGAAGAGTTATGCTAAAAGCCTTTAAGTTTAAGAATTTTTATGGTTGTCAAATACTATTTTCAGAAAAATTATAATGAAAACAGAACTCATGCAAAACTTTTGCACTATCGATTTTTATTTGAAGAATATTGATTTTAAATGATAGAAAACAAGAAGTTGAATAGATACAGTAAAAATCTTGTAACAGTGCATGCATGCACTACTAAATTTATGTTCATAATAAACCATATTGTATGAAAACCTATGAAGAAAATGCTGTTAATAGTATTTCGAGAGAATTATACATAGTATACGAGTATTCTGTATAAGATGCAAACAACGTCTTTCCGTTCAAATCTAAAATAAAAAGCCATTATCAAGAATAGTTATGTGGGTATGGGTATGAGTGAAATCATATATTCGATTGAGACTCACGCTCACAGTCATATCCATCTTTCATTCATACTCTAAATGATTGTAATAGCAATATTCATTCGTTTAGTAGAGATACTACCGGTTTACATAGTAGATTTTGTATTGATTTGCCCTCAGCGATAGGCATTACTAGTGACTGTCCATTCTTCGATGAGCAGAAGTGAAAAGCATCTTGTACGGTTACTAGCCATTTGATAATCTTTGTAGAAGTGAAATACGAATAGTATGGTGGTAACTTATCTAACCCTTAAGACGAAATCGGTTATGATTGCTAATTTCTCCAATTTGTTTTTCATTTTCATGAATTATCACTTTCATACTACGTACTAATAGTTGTAACTAGAACCAGTTTTTTCTCTAGAAATACCAAACTACGAAAAACAAGTACCGTTTGAACCTTTCTTTGTGATATTGATCATTAATTAAAATGTAATATTATAAGAAAAGAAGAATAGTTTCTTGTTTAATATGAAGACTGGTGCATCTTTTTCATAACAATATTTTCTAAACAAAGCAATAGAATGAGCATACCGTAAAAAGAAAATGTAATGATAATATATTTGTAAGAATTTTATTTGATCTTAACTGCTTTCAGCTAATAAACAAAGTCTTAAATCATTGTGATTCTCGATCTGACATTGTTTCGCTATAATATACTTTCTATAACAATATACTATTTCATTGTTATAAGATAGATTTATTTGCTAATACAACAAACTCGTAGATATTAAAAAAGAAAAACACAATTGTTAGTAAAGTAAAACAATTCTTCTGAAAAAATTTGTCTCATAAGCAAGAGTGTTCATTATTTATTTGTTAGTTACGGTTCGTAGAGTTCCGAGCTATTTAAATAACCGCTACTATTGAGTCCAGCTGCAACTAACACTTTTCCATTTGTTAATACAGATGCTGTGTGAAAATATCGAGCATAATTCATACTAGCAGTGGTTGTCCAGACTCCTGTTGATGGATCATATACTTCTGTACTGTTTAAATAAGCGCTACCATTGTATCCACCAGCAACTAATACTTTTCCATTTGTTAATACAGATGCTGTGTGTATATATCGAGCAGAATTCATGTTGCCAGTACTTGTCCAGACTCCTGTTGATGGATCATATAATTCAGTACTATTTAAATAAACGCCACTACTAAATCCACCAGCAACTAACACTTTTCCATTTGTTAATATAGATGCTGTGTGAAAATATCGAGCATAGTTCATATTGCCAGTGCTTGTCCAAGCTTCTGTTGATGGATCATATAATTCACTGCTATTTAAAAAACCCCTACCAATGTATCCACCAGCAACTAACACCTTTCCATTTGTTAATACAGCTGCTGTGTGCAAATATCGAGCATAGTTTGTTGCACCAGTGACTGTCCAGACTCCTGTTGATGGATCATATAATTCAGCACTATTTAAATAGCCACTACTACCGACCCCACCAACAACCAGCACTTTTCCATTTTTCAACATAGACGCTGTGTGCCACTCTCGAGCATAATTCATACTACCAGTGGCTGTCCAGACTCCTGTTGATGGATCATATAATTCTATACTATTTAAGTAGGCGCTACTACCATATCCACCAGCAACTAGTACTTTTCCATTTGTTAATACAGATGCTGTGTGTATATATCGAGCATAATTTGTTGCACCGGTAATCGACCATCCTATCAATAAATACTTCTCACATTCAGTTTTAGATAAGAAACATGCGCCATCAAATTCTCAAAGGCTCACATATTGATGATACTGATTAGATTTTACTACATCAGAACGATGTCTTATAATTATTACGATTAATTCTACATTTGATATGAGTCGAGGACTTTTATATTAGGTCGTAGGTGTAGGTGTGAACATACCCACCCGTTTTTGTCTTTATTCAACATCAAATGCACTAAAGGTAACTAAACTACATAGAGCAATACGCTTTTCTATGCAAGGATATCTTTTCGAAAACCATTGGCTAATGAAAATTTTAGAAAAGAGCTTGTATATTTACCTTCTGTTGTCGATGCGTTCTCATTAGATGATGTTAACCAAAATGTAGTTATAATAGCCAGTCCCAAACCAGCGATAAGTGCACCTAATAATAGACCATAAAACAATGGTGATAATGATGAACAATATTCTGATAGTGTCCATCTAAAGACAGCATAGTAATGCGACATATATTAAAACTCAATCGATTGTTTGTTTTTCTTACCGTTTGTTGTTCTGATCATTTGAATGATTTTGATTATCATCGGTCATGCCAGAATCATTCGAAACGGTTTTGTTTCTATTTGTGCTTTTTGACAAATTATGAGGATTAGAAAGATCAGTATCCGTTGTCGTCCATGCGCTCATTTGTATATGTTGAGAGGACATTCTCATCGTAGTGATTTTTCTTATACGTGATAGATATGTTGTTCAATAAGAAAAATAAAATTCTGCGACTGTTTTACTGTTATAACATACATTCTTTATATTAGATTATGAAGCATTCATAGAGTATCATGCTATTTCAAAACTTGTTTCGTAACAAAGAAAACTTAATGAATAATAATTTGCATTTTATAATAAAAAACAAATCAAGACGATGGTGAAATTTCATTTTGAATTTATTTTCTAGAAAACTTGTATAGTTTCTTCTAATTCAAATAAAAAAATACGAAATTCGATATATTTGCCGTATATTTGAACGCGATATTTCAAATGATTTATTTGTTGAACACCGTGAATATGAAACAAATCTTTATGGAACATCAAAATCAGCTATTGAAATACGTTCAGATCAATTAAATAAAATTTGTATACTTAATTTATTATTATATATTATTTATATGAAAATTCCATCAACTATTGAAAAATTAAGAGAATATTTTTATGTTAATGAACAACAATGGATTAAAATTGAACAAAATTATTCATATTTATTTGATAAAATTATTTGTTTAAATGATTCATTTGATTCAATTGTTTTACAATTCAAATTTTTAATTAAACATGTACAAATTAAACCTATGTGGGTTTTCTCCTAGAGAACGTTTTTAATAATAATAATAATAATAGATTTATTTCGTATTTTTCAAGATACATAAAATATTTAAACATGTATTATGATTTCGAAGAATTAGTAGTAAATGCATAGTATAATCAGATCCTTCTGATCTTAAGATGACAATTTTAATTTTTATCAATATACAATAATACTTTTTAATTTTGTATTAGTTTAGAATTCTGTGATCTAATTAATTTCGTTTTAAAAATTCTATAAATTGATTTGAAAGAAAGGAAAACAATAAAAAGAATATTGTAAATAAACAGAATCTAATTTATATTTTATTATTAATCAATGAATAAAGAATAGTGAAAAAACAAAACATGATTAATTATGGTTTCTATAATAATAATATTTATTTAAACTGTATATCATTTTCAATAGACAAAAATAACATAAAAAATATTAATTAATTTAATAACGTAAAAATTTTTGTATTCTTTGATTTAATTCATCCGTTCTTCTAATTCAAAATAAAAAAATACGAAAGTCGAGATATTTACCGTATATTACATTTAGTCGGGTGTGAGTGTCCGTTGTGTTATGGCATGGTATAAAGAGTGCTCCAGAAGTTCTAAGGAAATTTTAAAATTTATCGTTCTGGCACGTAATAAAAGCAAACTCTCTTTCAAACTTTCAGAGGTTAGTGTACATATGCTATACCATATAACTACAAAGTTTGACTTCTATATTGTTTACTATAAATGAGTACATGACAAAATATTATCATACGCTATTTTTTCGATTTTATTGTCATCTTGATTATTACTTGTTAATACAATACATTTAAAAAAAGATAAATTATATACATCAAATTGTCACGTACAAAAATGAACGAGCGAGAGTGAAAGAATAATTTTCTTTTCTCTTAAATTCGTTAATAAAAAAATCCTAGAAATAGTAATTGTTTTCTCATTATTACATTCCATTATATGTATTTATTTTGTTGGAAAATCGAAAAAATAGTGTATGATAATATTTTTTCATGTACTCATTTATAGTAAAGGATATAGACATCAAACTTTGCAGTTATGTGGCACTACATATGTACACTAACCTCTGAAAGTTTGGAAGAGTTTGCTTTTGTTATGTGCCAGAATGATAAATTTTAAAATTTCCTCAGAACTTCTGGAGCACTCTTTATCTGTTATCATTAAGAATGCTGAGTTTCTCTTATTTCCTTACGTACTACTCATATTGTTGAGTATTTAAGAAGTGAATATTGTGAAGAGAAAGGATGATTCTTGTTTTATGAAAGAAGAGGAATAAAGAACAAAAAGGACCGATAATACATTGTGAGTGTGGGTGTATCTTCTTTTAGCTCACACCGACACCTTATCGGTCGGCTTTGTCCATTACGGTTTTTTTTAATTTTATAGAGATGCTTTCTGCATGTACGCGCAAGGACCTAAAACGTAGAATTAATTCAGCAATAAGTGAACAAAACCTTCTTTTTTTTATTGATCAGCTATTTTTTATTTTTTATTTTACAATTTCAATACTTTGTTTCACACTTTTGATATGAGGATGAGTTCCAAGTAAAGTACGCTGTAGTATACGCAGAACACGTTCAAAATATGATAGTGCACTTGAGTGGTCTTTCATATTGCGAAAAAACGAACCGATGTTATTATATGAAGTAGCCAAATCAGGATAATTCCAAGGAAGACTTTTTTGATAGATTTGATGTGTTTTTTCGAGATATGAAAGTGCTTTTGAGTACTCTCCCGCCTTGTCATACACCAAATCGATGTTGTTTTATGAAGTAGCCAAGGGAGAATGATTTGAAGCAAGAGATTTTCGGTAGATTTCAAGTGCTTTTTCGTAGTATAAGAGTGATTCCGAGTACTCTTCCATGTTAGAATATACAAAACCGATACTGTTATATGTAGTAGCCAAATCAGGATGATTCGAAGGAAGAGTTTTTTCTCGAATTTTGAGAGCTTTTTCGTGAGATGAAAGTGCTTTCGAGTATTCTCCCATTTTGTCATACGTTCTACCGATGTTGTCGTATGAAGTAGCCAAATCAGGATGACTTGAAGAAAGACTTTTTTGTCGAATTTCAAGCGCTTTTTCACAAAACAACAGTGCTTTCGAGTACTCTCCCATGTTGTAATACACACTACCGATGCCGTTGTACGAAGTAGCCAAATGAGGATGATTTGAAGAAAGAGTTTTTTGTCGAATTTTAACTGCTTTTTTGTAAAAAGAAAGTGCTTTCGAATACTCTCCCATGTTGTCATACACACCACCGATGTTGTTATATGAAGTAGCCAAATTAGGATGACTTGAAGGAAGAATTTTTTGCTGAATTTCAATTGCTTTTTCGAGTGATGAAAGTGCTTTCGAGTATTCTTCTATCTTATTATACGCACTACCGATGTCGCTGTATGAAATAGCCAATGAAGGATGCTTTGAAGGAAGAGTTTTTTGTCGAATTTCAAGTGCTTTTTTGTAAAATAAAAGTGCTTTTGAATAGACTTTCCTATTGTAATACACTTTAGCGATGTTGTTGTACGAAGTAGCCAAATTAGGATGATTTGAACGAAGAGTTTTTTGCTGAATTTCAATTGCTTTCTTGAGAGATAAAAGTGCTTTCGAGTATTCTCCTATCTTATTATACACACTGCCGATGTCGCTATATGAAATAGCTAATGAAGGGTGCTTTGAAGGAAGAGTTTTTTGTCGAATTTCAAGTGCTTTTTCGTAAAATGAAAGTGCTTTCGAGTACTCTCCCATCTTTGTGTATACACTACCGATGTTATTATACGAAGTACCCAAATTGGGATGATTTGAAGGAAGACTTTTTTGATAGATTTCAATTGCTTTTTCGTGAGATGAAAGTGCTTTCGAGTACTCTCCGATCTTATGATACACACCAGCGAGGCTGTTGTATGAAGTGGCCAAATAAGGATGATTTGAAGAAAGAGTTTTTTGACTAATTTCAAGTCCTTGTTCGACATACCAAATAGCCTTTTTATAATCACCTTGATTGTAATGGACGGATCCCAGCTGATTATAATAATGCTGTTTTTCACCCTCATCAGATGGCTGTTCGAGTAATGCGTTATAAAGCTCTTCAGCTTTATTAAATTGACCTATTTTAAGCAATAAGTCACCCAATCTCTGCCATCCAGTACCACCAGCTTCTTCCCGTATCCTATTAGTCAGTATTCGTAGTTGTTGATCATCATCCGATGTTAGTTTTAATTCAACTTGATAAAGTTCATTCTTGTTGTCCATTTGTTTAATTGCAATTACTCGAAAGACGGTGTGCATTGAGAAGATAATTTCATCCTCTTCCTTAAAATAACTCTTCTCTTTGATGGAGGCAAACGGTGTTGATTTAATACAAGGATCAATGGACATTATAAAGAGAATGCCCACCATGTCTCCATTTTCTGCTGCACCTTGAGCAAATTCGAGAGACACCTCTTTATCCTTACTGGTGGACAAGAAATTGTTAAATGACATTAGTCCACCTTTTGTTTTTTGAAGTTTTTCAAAATCTGATTTCATGAGACCTTGTCCTCGATAAACTAAAAAAGATTTTCTTCCATAACTAATGATCTGTTGTTCATACAGCTGTTGAATTTGTTGATGCAAATCACTTAGAAAAAATCCCATAGTAATAATTATATCGGCATTCAATGCTCGAAGACCATAATTGAGCATAGAAAAGATATTCGATGGAAAAGTATACCACCAAATAGCTAATTCATCCTGGTATTCATTCTCAAAACGGTCAATAATGATTGGTGACACGCTGTTATTATTTCGGCAATAATCAGTAAACTGCTTAATGGTCTGTTTATCATGTTCCATATTAAGAAGAATATCCTTAAATATTTGAGTGTACATAAATGTTGGCTCCAACTGATTTAAATTATTAGTTGACATCATGTCATCAATCTGGATAAAGCTTACAGCAATTAAGTCTTGATATTGTTGTTTAATACCCAATTGTAACTCATGGCATAAGTCATCGATGTTGGTATGAACACTCTTGATTTTTTGCCATTTTTTTATGAATTCGTCAGGTAGGATTTTAGTATCACTCAAGATATAAATTCCATGCAGCTGAGGAATGTCATTAATGAGCGGCATTATTTGTTGACACACAGTATCCTTGACAACCAGAAAAGACTTGATGTCTTCTGGAGCATATGTAAGATAGTCGATGCATAAATCTCGTTGTTTAAAGACGTTGACATTGTCAGTGATGGTTTTTAATTGTATCAAAATATTTTGATAATCTTTGGTTGCTTCTTCCATACATTCACCTAGCCAGAGGAGTGAATAATTTTGAATTATGCGTCGCCTTGGTTGAATAGCATTTGATGGTAACATAGTCGTGTTGTTGTTATTCATAGATGCGTTTGATGATGAGAAAAGTTTTTGATTTAATCTTGATCCATACGTCTTGTCTTTTTTTATAATTGGACGTCGAATATACGCTTGTCAGTAGTTGTTCTTGTCTGAATGGTAAGGAAGCTCACCGCTCTTATTTATAATGGTAATGGCGTATTTTTTCTGTTCTTCTCAGTATGCAAAATGTGTGTATTTTTTTGTCAGGATTTAAAGAGAATCTTCGACTAGTTACTATTTAAGATACTGTTGTGAAGAGTAAGAGACAGACTGTCACGGATAAATTTGTTAACAACGTCTGCGACAGAACGAAGAAATAAGAAGCTAGCAAAGGATAATGTTTCATAGTTCTTCTTTCCAATTCTCTCTTCCCTTCATCTTGTGTAATTACTCCAACATGTCAATATGCGTGCGATACTTTGTCATTAAAATGAAAGAAAAAACCAAATATGATTCATTTAGCAAATGTTTAATCTCTTCGCCATATATCGTTTTTAAATCGTCGTAATGAATTTGTTAGAGCATAAAAGCTGTGTCAATGAACAAAAAAGTATGTATTGATTTAAGAATACTGTAAAAACTTTGTTGTTCTCTGTTCGAAAAACAAAAGTATTTCGCTGAAATAACTTTGAAAGACTTGTATTATAAAGACTTATATTTAAATGAGCAATAATAGTACTGAATGAGCAATAATTATACTAAATAAGCAATAATTTATTTAAATGAGTAATAAATCGTATATATAAGAAGCAATATAAATCCAGGTGTTAAATCCCCTCTATAACAGAAGACTCCCTTTTAACCGAAGAACCTCCCATAATAGAAGATCCTTCTGAAAAAAATTTCTATACAAATGATGTGTATTTTGGTGAGGATTTCAGTAAAATTTAGACTTCATTTGAGAAACATAATAGAAGACCTGGTGGTATTTTATTATAGACGGGGGTTTACAGTACTATTTGTCTGTGTTGGATATGTTCTTTTCATGCTTTTGATTGTATCGTATAGATGGCTTATCCAGGATCTCCGCATATATATTGTTTTTTTTCCTTTTTATCTGAAATATTTTCCAAACGTTGAGTCGTTCAAGTACTTTTCTTTCTCCTTATTTTTCCCTCATTGTCTTTGAATTTTCCCATCCTGGTTATGTGTATATATCAGAGGTGGAATCGGTTCGTGATTTTTTAGAATCGAACCGAATTTTGCCGAAAAAGTGTCAAACCGAATCGATCCAGTTTTTTAAAAGGTCCAAATCGAACCTAACCGAACCGAGCTCAAAAGAAGTGAAGTTTATGGCAAGTTAATCAACAAGTCAGCTTTTCTTCAGGGTGGGTATGGGTCCGTGTATATGTTCACTTCATCATCACCCATACCAACACCCACCACCCCACACCCTCATAGGCAGACCATGTCAAGCAAAAAAAGCTTTATTGCTATAATAGTACATTATTGCTCATTTTACTTTTTTTATGATCAATTGTAGAAATAAAAACTGGAGTTTTCCTTTTTTTTATTACCAAAATATGAAATTAATATTGCTATTTAGTGGATTAATTATTAGCCATTTCATAATTTAAAGCTGCTCGAAAAGGATTTTTTATTGCCCGAAGATTATTGCTCATTCAGTCATTATTATTGCCCAAATAAATACCTGCCTATGATAAATAATTTTTAAAAACTACAAAATTGTTAGAGCTAAAGATATTAGAAGAGTTTTTCATAAATGATAATGTCGTATATCGTCTATCTAATTTACTAATCCAAGTTCTATAACTGAAACACTGAAAAATAATCATCACATATTTATAATGGTAAAAATGATCAATCATAAACGTATTATCATGCATTACTAATATCAGTTAAAAAATAAGTTTGCTCACAAGTGAAAAGTAGTTGAAAGCTTATTGAATTGTCTATCAAACGGTGTTAGTTGGACAAGAGGAAATATTTTCTGTAAGATATTCCAGCGTAAGTTTGTTTTGCCATAAAGTAAGCAATTTATAAAATGATTTATTTATCAAATCATCTTCTGTTTATTCTTTCGTATATTATTCCAACTATTTTAACACAACATTATGTACATATATATAGTAATAGGGATCATCGAAAGTAAATGAAAACGATACTTATAAAAGAGTTATGTTAACGCCTTTAAACTCCAGAATTCTTATGGTTGTCAAATACTATTTTCAGAAAAATTATATTAAAAACATAATTCATGCACAACTCTTGCATGATGGGTGGGCGTGGAGTGTAGATTCATCTTTTCTTTACGCACACTTAAACTCAAACCCTCAAATTCATAGATATTAAAAAAGAAAAGCTTAGTTGTTAGTAAATTAAAACAATTCTTCTGATAAAATACGTCGCAGAAACAAGAGGGTTCATTGTTTATTTGTTAGTTACGGTTCGTAGAGTTCCGAGCTATTTAAATAACCAGTAAGATTGTATCCATCGACAACCAACACTTTTCCGTTTGTTAATACAGATGCTGTGTGTATATATCGAGCATAATTCATACTACCAGTGGTTTTCCAGACTCCTGTTGATGGATCATATAATTCACTACTATTTAAGCAACCGGTACCATTGAATGCACCAGCAACTAACACTTTTCCATTTGTTAATATAGATGCTGTGTGTCTAAATCGAGTATAATTCATATTACCAGTGAGTGTCCAGACTCCTGTTGATGGATCATATAATTCTGTACTATTTAAATAACCGCTACTACCGAATCCACCAGCAACTAATACTTTTCTATTTGTTAATACAGATGCTGTGTGCCACTCTCGAGCGATATTTATGCTGCCAGTGGTTGTCCAGAATCCTGTTGATGGATCATATAATTCAGCACTATCTAAATAAACGCTACTACCAGATCCACCAGCAACTAACACTTTTCCATTTGTTAATACAGATGCTGAATGTCTAAATCGAGCATAATTCATACTACCAGTGGTTGTCCAGCCTCCTGTTGATGGATCATATAATTCAGCACTATTTAAATAACCGCTACTACCAGATCCACCAGCAACTAATACTTTTCCATTTGTTAGCACAGATGCTGTATGTAAATACCGAGCATAATTCATACTACTAGTGACTGTCCATACTCCTATTGATGGATCATATAATTCAGCGCTATTTAAATAAATGCTACTATCAGATCCACCAACAACTAATACTTTTCCATTTGTCAATATAGATGCTGTGTGTCTATATCGAGCATAATTCATGCTGCCAGTGGTTGTCCAGACTGCTGTTGATGGATCATATACTTCTGTACTATTTAAAGAACCGCTACCATTGTACCCACCAGCAACTAACACTTTTCCATTTGTTAGTAAAGATGCTGTGTGTATATATCGAGCATAATTTGTTGTACCGGTAATCGACCATGCTATTAACAAATATTTCTCACATTCAGTTTTAGATAAGAAATATGTGTCATTAAATTCTGAAAGGCTCACACACATTGATGGCACTGATTAGAGTCTACTATATAAAAATAATGTCTTATAATTATTACGACCACTTCTACATTTGATATGAGTCGAGAACTTTTATATTTGGTCCTAGGTGCAAGTGTGAACACACCCATCCGTTTTTGTCTTTATTCAACATCAAATGCACTAAAGATAACTAAATTTCACAGAGCAATAGGCTTTTCTATATAAGAATATCATCTCGAAAACGACTGGCTGACGAAATTTTGATGAAAATTTTAGATAAGAGCTTGTGTATTTACTTCCTGATGTCGATGCGTTCTCATTAGATGATGTTAACCAAAATGTGGTTACAATAGCCAGTCCCAAACCAGCGATAAGTGCACCTAATAATAGACCATAAAACAATGGTAATAATGATGAGCAATATTCTGATAGTGTCCATCTAAAAGCAACATAGTAATGCGACCTATATCATAGCTCAATCGATTGTTAGTTTTTCTTACCGTTTGTTGTTCTGATCATTTGAATGATTTTGATTACCATCGATCATGCCTGAATTATTCGAAACGGTTTTGTTTCCATTTGTGCTTTTCGACAAATCATAACGATTTGACAGATCAGTATCCGTTGTTGTCCATGCGGTCATTTGTATATGTTGAGAGGACATTCTCATCGTAGTGATTTTTCTTATATGTGTGATAAATATGTTGTTCAATAAGAAAATAAAATTCTGCGACTGTTTTACTATTATAACATACAAGCTTTATATTAGACAATGAAGCATTCATAAGGCATCATGCTATTTCAGAGCTTGTTTCGTAACAAAGAAAACTTAATGAATAATAATTTGCATTTTATAATAAAAAACAAATCAAGACGATGGTGAAATTTCATTCTGAATTTATTTTCTAGAAAATTTCTATAGTTTCTTCTAATTCAAAATAAAAAAAACACGAAATTCGAGATATTTGCCGTATATCATATTTAGTCGAGTGTGGATGTAGATATCTCTTCTCTTCGCTCACGTCCACACCTACACTCTCCAGGTATATAAATATCCACTATTGAATTATACAGTAGTTAGTTTCATTATCATACTTTACACTCTCGTTTTTTTATAATTCTTTATTTTTTTGTACATGATAAAAAACACAACATGTAATAACATATAAATTTCAATCATCATCATCAATTTTTTGGAGAGTATCTGTTTCATTTAATGCCATTAAATCCGTATCACCGAACACAGAATGATAAGATTTCGACTGTTGTTTTCGTCTTATATAATAAATAATAACTGTTGCTATCATCAAAGTAATAATAAGAAGAACAATTCCTATAATAACAATTCCTATAAATAATTTTGTTGATTTGCTTTGATTATCTTTACATTGAAGACTAAAAAATGAAACGAGACAATCTAATTTTAATCCTTTGTTTCTTGGTTCATTAAAAACAGCTAAAGTTGATGGTGGAATTTTTAACCAATCTATAAAATGATGTAATTCACAATTACATTTAAGATCATTATTACTAGAAAGATCAACTGTTAATAAATGATAATAATCATTTAAATGATTAGTAGAATCAAGTTTTTCTATCGACATATTTTGAAGAGAAACATGAGTTAAATATTTACGCCAAGGATAAAAAATATTCCAATTCAATGTTCGATGTTGTTTATTAAGTTGATTATTATTCAAAATTAGCGTATGAATATTTGATAAATTATGTAAATAGATAAGATGTTCAAATGAATTGAGTTGAATAGAATCTAAATCAAGATATTTTAATGAAGGTAATTCGATAGAAAATGTGGTTGGTATAAGAGATAATTTCGTATTATTAAATAATAAAAGTTTATAAGTTGATTGTCCGTGTAATTTTATTGATCGAAGATTATTTTGTGATAAATCAATAATATGTGGAGATTCATTAGTCCAATTTATTTTAATAGATTCCATTTGATTGTATGAGAGATTCAATAAATTCATTGAAGATAATTCATACATACCATGTTGAAAATGAATTTGATTAATATCAATAATTTTTAAACGATTAAAACTAACATCCAAGGTAAAAAATGTAAGATAATGAAGGAAATCAAGAGTTTCTAAATAGTTATAACTCAAATCAATTACATCAACATGTAAAAATTTCTGTATTGTATCATTAAAATCAATGGAAAAATTATTGACTGCTGTATTTGATATTATTATTTGTTTTAAATAAGTATAATCCGACATAAGACGTAAGCGAACTTGTTTTAAATTCTTGTTATCACTAAAATCAATTCTTTTTAAACGATCATAAATATTGAAATGTATATAATTAATCGTATCAATATTTTGTATTTGAATATTTTCAAGATTTGTCGTTGATAGAAAATCATCTGTTGATATTGAATTAGTTAACGATTGATTTTTTAATGTTAAATCTTTTATACACGAATTAAAAAATTTAACTGAAGTAATATTTGTTTCAGTTAAATCAAGTATTAAACGATTATTAATTTGTGAACAATTGTTAAGAAATTTTTCATATTCATTCATGGGAATTTGTTGACAATGACGGCATCGAAATGTTTCTAATCGTGGTAGAAGTTCTAAATGAAATAATTGTTTAATTAAAGTTGATGAAACATCAAGAAAAATTAAAGATTGAAATTCATGAATTTTATTTAATATTGTTTGTAATGGATTAAACGATAAAATTAAATATTCAATTCTATTTAAAATATTTCCATTAAGATTATCAATTGATTCAAGTTGATTGTGTGATAAATGAAGAGATTTTAACTGAGGAAAATATTTTTGTTCGAATAGAAATTGTTTTTTATTAGTAAATTGATTATAGGATAGATCAAGTGAAGTTAATTGTGGATAATATGATGTATTTAATTGAAACCATTGTAAACCTTTTTCATCTTGAATTTCAAGTGATTGAAGAAGACGAAAATAAATTTTTTTATTTTCATTAAATAATTTCGATGAAAATGCATTATTAATTAAAATTAAATATTCAATATTCGAAGCAACATTTATAAATAAATCATTTAATGATAATTGAAAATTTGAATCACGAATTTCGACATGAGAATTTTGAAGAGTATATTTTAAATCATTTAATAATGGAATTGATTTAGTAAAGGTTGTATTCCAACAGGATAATAATGTTGTTTTATCATAAGTACAACGTGAAGGTATATCATTCCAAAATGAACATTGATTATTTTGAATAAAGAGTAAGAAGAAGAAATGAATCAGAGATTGATGTTTCATTTTTGCATGAAGATTAAAAACAATAGAAGATAAAAAAAAACGCTACGTAATTTCTATTTTCTCTTCTGTTCTTTTAGTATACTCAAGTTCGCATTTTTTTTTATTAATGAAACAAATTGTAGTAAAAAGAATTTTTCTTTTTTTTTTATTATGTAACAAGATAAAGCAAAGCACATCGAGATTATAAAATACAAGTCAACTCAAGGTTTTTTCCTTTCGGTGAAAATAGTTAACAAAATGATGTTATATTATCAAACATTATAAAAATTATGAGATGAGAAGAGGAAAAAAAGGTTGAGGTGAACAAATGTCACCTCAAGAAACAATTTTTTTTCCTTCTAAGAATTACGTCATACGTACTTTTACATTATTAAGGAAATTTCTCTTTCTTTTTTTTTTATATAGGCTAAGAAAAAAAGAACCCGAGCATTTTTTTTTATTCAATTTGAAGTATAAAAAAAGAGTTGCCGGTCAAGATATAATTAAACAAGCATGATTAGCTGTATTATTATGAATATATTTTGATCGAAATATTTTATTTCAGCTGCATACGAAACCTAGAATAGATAAAGTACTATTCGAGGGCAGAGAGCAGCTCGAATCTGTCACTTAGGTTCGAACACATTAGTAATAAACAATATTACCATTCAACTATATCGAATATTTATTATATGAAGAATAGGAAGAATACATTTCATTTCTTTTTTTTGTCAAAAGTGATTGTATTATGTAATAAAAATAATTTAACTAAAAGGAAATCAAATGATTACTTTTGATAATCATAAAAATTTACTATTTATTGAGTCAAACATGTATAATCTTTCTCTATTAGCTTAATTATAATTCACTCAAGTACATTCTTAAGAAAATGAAGAAGTCATTTTATTTTTGTTGATTTTTTGGCGTCTAGATTTTATTATTTCAAGTGAGATATTGATTAAAATAGATTAGACAATATAAAACAAAAACAGCAAGTGTATGAGAAGAATGTCGGCATAGATCTATATTGTACAATGTATAAGACAATTTCGATAGCGTCATTTGTATTGCTTTTAACTTGATTAACTAAAGAAACATATTCACACAATTGATTTTTTTGTTTGTCTTAGAGAAGCAATTTATAGTTCGATTCAAATTTCAGTCTACCTGTCAACTTAAGTTATTCTTGATCTCTTAACTATCGATTTCAAAATGAATTGTTAATGTGTCTTGTCTATTTAAATAAAAAATGTAAACGTATGGATTAATATTAGCAGAAAAAAAATTTTTCCTTTTGCTTTTTCGTTTCTCACGGTACAATTACATAATTTATCTTAGAAAGAATTAGCTGCTTTCAAGCAATAAGAAAAACATCTATACATATCTTTTTATTTGATTGCTTACGGGCACTTGAACAATTAGGCTCATGATTAAAAAGAATGTTAGTATCTTTTCTTTTCTTCTCGTCATCCTATTCGTTTAACGATGCAATAATATATCCGATTGGATATTGACGAAAAAAAAAAACGAAGACGAAAATAATTCAAAAGAGAAAGATGACAGTTATGAATTCATCTTTATTTATTCATATATCATGGAACAAACAACAACAACAGTATCTTCGTTAAAATCAAAACTTTTTCTTATACTAACATTATGTACAGTTATTAGTTTGATTATTATTATTGTTATATTAATGTTCACAATTATTAAAGACCGACAAACATCAGCGCAGATTCCCATTGCACAATCTCTTAAATCAGTTTCGAAGCAATCAACATTCACAACTACTAGTATGTAATATATTCTGTTAACATCCATAGAATCTTTTTTGTTCTTTTAAGTTTCTACAACAACAACGACTTTGTCTCCTGAAGAAATTCATCGATTATCTTCGTTTAAAGAATTTCTTAATTTACCATCGAATCATCCGAATCCAAATCCATCTCGTTCACCGAAAACAATGAATACATTTATGCGTTCAATCTATCGACAAATGTATGATGAACGAGGATCTCAAAGAAGAAAACGTCGTGATAATGAATATTTAAATTATTATTTATCCGATGAATTCGATTCAATTATTAGTTTACCAAATCAATATTCTTATTTATCTACAAATATGACTTATCATTTTGAATATAATGGATCAATTGAATATCTTAAATATGCTGAATTTATTTTACCTATTCGACAATTTTCAATTATTCAACTATCTTCTTCAACTTTTAATATTACAATCAAACAATCTGATAGAAATAATAATAATAATTTCATAAAAATCAATTTAACACAATACATCACATCATTTCCATTCACATTTCATCTTACATTTATTCAAACAAAACAAAAACTTTCAACAGGATTTTTAACTTTATATTTTCAAAAATCATCTCATTCAGTTGTCCGTCGTGATTTATCAACATTCTATAATAATCAATTAATAACATATCCTGATGATCCATCATATTGTCAAGTTCGTCCATTACGTACATCATTTTCCGAATTAAATTGGTCATCTTGGATTATTGAACCAAGTTCATATGAAATGAATATATGTTCAGGTACATGTCATACGCAATCAAATATGGGTACATATTTTATAATTCAAAATTTATTGAATCAGAAATATCCAAAGAAAATTCCAGCACCATGTTGTAAACCAAAACGTTTCTCATCGACAATACTTTTATATTATGATGGACCGAATTTAATTTTAAAAAGACATGAAAATATGCGTGTTGTTGAATGTGGTTGTTCGTTATAGATATAAATATATATATATTTTTTTTTAAATTGAGATTTATTGTCGTCTTGGTTCTCTAGTACTTGGACCAATGGGTCGATTATCTATACCAATTTGTCTTCGAGTTAATATTCGTCGATGACATAGAAACATTGAAAATTGATTAATAATTTGTCGACTTTCAAGACGAAATTGAGATCCAGTTAATGTATATAAATAAAATGATATTGAACAATTTAAATATGCTAAATGACGTGCAATTTGTGATAAAAAATTTTCTATTGCTAAACGTAAAGGACTTTTCATTATTGTTAATGTTGTTGTTACTTCTAAATTTGAAATAATTAATGGTAATGAACATATAACAGTTATAATCACTTGTAATAATAACATTTTACTTAATTGTATATCACGTTGTCTTACACGGATATTTCCTTGATTATTACTATGTCTACGTGTTAAATGTATATTACGTATAGTTAATAATCCAAATAAAGTCATAAGAATAGGTGGTAAAAGACTATATTGAATAAATATTTGTATATCATTAAATAATCGATATGGTCCATATCGTGGATAACAGAATGATGATTGAATATTATATAAAATAAGTATATGACAATATAATAAAATAAAAATTATTGTAAGAAATCCAATAGAATACCATGCTCTTTTTAAATTACTTAATCGTCTACGATTATGATCATTTGAACTAATTATATAACGATCAATAGTTGCAAGAAGAAGAAACCAATTCGAAAGACTTAATGATAAATATTGAAAAAATGAACGTAATTTACATACAGTAAGATTTGTATTGATCAGATCAATATTACCTATATCTGTTAAATAACGTGGTAACATACCAAAATAAAGTGATATTAAATTAACCATTGTATTTGCAAGAAAACAAACTGATGTTGGATTTGTTCGTTGAGTTCTTTTAGAAAATATTAATAGATTACATAAATGACCAAATGTACCAATTATTAAAAGAATCATTGGAAAGATTTTATTCACAATTGATATACTACCATTTAAAATATTGATTATATCAATAGCTTCCATATTGCTTGAAAAATATGTATGTCAAATAGATAGTTGTAAAATTGAAAGAATGAATCTAGAGGAAAAAGTTATAATATGAACGCAACTATTATAAGAAGAAAGGATAATCAATTGAATATAAATTCAAAGAGTTGAATAAGAATGTAATCAAGTCTTTAATACTCATTCAACTATAAATTTTACATACTGACATATTTTCAATATATATCCTGTGTTTGACATCCAAGGTATGAACTGTAAGAGATAATCTTTGATGATATCGTCTCTCAAGACTAAATGTTCTGTTTTGTTATATACAGAAGACTTAATATGAACTCTCAGTACTTTTTGTTTAAATAGGGTGGGTGTGAATATTTTATTACGAACTTTTTCTTTGAAATCATGAAAATAGAATAGTAATGAGTTTATTTTTAAAAAGATGGCTCATTCCGAATTGTGGTTACACTTCCCATCCTCACCCACACTGTCGGTTTGCTAATTGGTTTGATCTGCGACCGCAATTAGGAAGCACGAAAAAAGGTTTCCAATAATGAAGATACTACAGAAAAAAATTCTACATTTATAATATTCGTTATATATATATGCTAACATGTTGTATTAAGTCAAGTTAACTTTCATCAAACGAATACAAGTGTCTACTTATCTGTATTGTCTGAATATTATATATAAAAATTAAGTTAATTTTGAATGCATATAATTTTAATGATGATTATTCACATCCCCATATAGACATATAAAAATAAGTTTCAGAATGTTCTTCAAAAGAACATTTTTATGAAGCATGTCACTAATCATGTCTGCTTTGTAACACAAATATCTAATTGGTATAATTGTTAACTATTATTCATCATAAGTCAAAACTGTAGAGACACACTTTGATATATCATTTTTAAGATAACTTCTATTTTTTAATTAGATAGTATGAGAATAATGATAGATATAATCATGAAGTCTATCAAGTTGTTTGAAAATCAAGGTAACAGTAATATATTTACTGAACTATAATTTAAATAAAAACGTAGGAAAAGATATGCAATGAATATTCATTTATTTATGTTTTTAAAATTTTCTCCAATATCTCTTTTTATCATATTAAGAAATTTTGCTTTCAAATCTTTCTCTATTCGAAATATCACTTCAGCACAATTTCGATCTCTTGATAACCATGTCTTTCCTTTACATATTGGATTAAGACGAAATACTCGGAGATAAAATGCACCTGACCATCCTGTATAAAATCGACATTTATCTTTATAACCAAAATCAACTAAATCTGCCCAATCATATCTAAAATTTGAATTGACTATAATATCATTTGGTACAAATCCTAAATCAGCAAGTCGATTATTATGAATCATTTGTCTCATTGCATCGTCAGCAGTAGCTGACCAACGTTCAAGAAATTTTGAATCTCGTGATTTTATTATTGATTGACGTATTGTTTTTGCAATAGATGATAATGAATATGGATCTTTAAAATCATCTGATAACATCATAAATACTGCATTACCAATCTGACCAGGAGAAGCAATCGAGTCAGATACACCACGAAAATTTACAGATGTATTCGTACGTAAAATACGACGTGTATCATCATTATAATAACAATATTTATTTAGTGTTAGAATAATATAAGCTGTAAGTGCATCTTGGATTGTTATATTATCCTCACCAGCTAAAGTTCTTAATTTTACGAGTTGTTCACCGGAAAAACTTAGATTAACTTGATCATATGCTTCTTGATCGATCATAAATTTTTTCCACATTTCTTCTAATGGTTTCGTATCACGGAAATGTTTCATTGTGGATAAAAGCGATGAATCAATTTCATTATTTTTCCATAAACGTCGTTCAAATATTGGTAATGGTTCAAGAGGTTCCATGTGCTGATATAAACGTGAGAGAGTATTTGAAAAATTTAAACAAGATGCAGCATCACCTAATTCATGTGCCCAACTTATACCCAATATCCATTCATTACTTTGTATAATATGAGTTAATTTAAGTCGTACAAGTGGTTCATCATTTGTATTATCAAACAAATTTGTTACTCGAACTTCATCAAGATATGTTGAAAGTGAATTTGTATAAAAATCTCGAATTACATTTGAATCAAAAGGCCATTTAACGGAATCGTAATCATTGAATAATACCACTGGAATAGGATTATCGGACATTTCTATAAAATACTGTTCGTTGGTATCTAAACGAGAACGACCAGTAATAAAAGGCCATAAAGAAAGAGCACGACTGAGTGCTTCTTTGAAACGATCGATATTTATTTCAGACGGATATACAAATACATTATCAATCCGTGCCATTCTCCATAGATCAAGACCAGCTAATTCAAGACGACGATCCTACCTGTTGGTGATGAAGGATAAACAAGAAAAGTTGATGTCATATTTATACAAATAGTAAAATTATAAAATGATATATTGCAGTTACATTATGTTATATAGGTTTCTTGTGCAATTTCATAAGAATATCTTATATTTTATGACATACATCTTTTTATCATCTTTAATGATAAATATTTGTCACAACCGTGGTACTCAAAAGAATCAAATAGAAGACATATATTGTAGAGGTCGTTTACCATGATATAGTTTTGAATATGATTATAGAAGTCTTTCGAAGAGACAAGGATTAAACAGAGTATAGATTTAGACTACTGTTTATCTAACATATTATTGTTTTTCTGTTCGGTCGCATTATTTCCATAAAATTGAAATTTTAACCACACTAGCAGTTCAATTCGATTAGTTTCCCTTCAAAATATGTATTTGTTATTGAAACTTTTTTTTTGTAAATAAAATTCTTTCTTATCTCTATAATTAACATTTTGAGATAGAAAAAAAATATTTTTATTTTTTTTATTTAAAATTCTGTATTAACAAAATAAAACTTACAAAAAAAACTATTAACGAAAACGATGATGAATGAACTATATTCCCTGAAAAGAGAGACTGTCCTTGGGTTGATACATTCTTATAAGGCAAATAAATTGAAGAAGGTATAATAATTGTTAAATTCAATGGTGAAGATGAATATTGAATTATTATTGTTCGATTATAAATTTCATTACTTCGATAGAGTACCTAAAAGAAATAAGTTTATTATACGTGTTCATAATAATTCTATCATATATTACCTTTAGAGTATATTTTCCAGGTAATAAGATTCTCCAAAATTCACCTAATGATGTAACTTTTACAGTAGGCCATCGATTATCAATCATAACTTCTGTCGATGGTATTGATTGATTATATTCATTAAGTATTAAACCTTTAACACCTAAAATAAAAATTTTCAATATTAAAATATTTTTTATCAAAAAGAAAAAATCGAACCTCTTTGTGCTTGTAATAAATATTGAATCATTGCATCACGATTATAATTCCAATAGGCAGGAAGAGTATTATTTACAGGATATTTACAACATGATATTTCCATTGTTAATTCAATAATACCATAATTCAAATAACCATAATCTTGCATACCACCGGTTATCTCATACCAATCAGCACCACGTGTAACAAAACCATCATTTTGATAATCAGATAAACAATTTTCATTTGTTTGTACTGTTCGATTCACATAAGCATGTGCTAGCGTTTGAAATATATCATCATCATCACTTATTGAAACACCTTGAACATCTTGAGGAAGAGGAGAACAAAAAAAAACAATATAATTATTATAGATATTAATTAGAAAAAATATTTTACAATAACGATCAAATGGTGTATTCATAGTAAAGGATCCTCCATGATAATTAGCCGATAGAACGAATGAGATATTTGCTAACCAAGCTATAACTGCACTTGTTTCTTGTGCTTGAATTGATGAATCAAGTGTAGCACCATAATAATCTGGAAAATTTCGATTCAGATCAATATTATTCACAGTATATCTAAAATTATGTTAAAGGCTAAATAATTTTTTCTCTATTGATAATTACCTTCCATTCGTACTTGTACAATCACCATATTGAGATATTTCTAAACCATCTGGATTCATACATGGCATTATCCATATTCGAGATTGATTCATCAATTGATTAACTAATGTATCATTTGATGTCAAGAGATATTCAATTAGATACAGTAACATTTCTTTTCCTACAACTTCATTTCCATGCATATTTGCTATATATTTTACCTCCGGTCGAAGTAAAACATGTGCATTTGGCGACGATGCACTCAATGCCATAACCCATAATGATCTTCCTATATATAATCATTCATATGAAATTTATATTATCAAATATGATCTTAATCAATTATACCTCCTTGTGATTTCCCTATTTCATATAATGCTGTTTTTGTTGGATACTGAGAAGCGAAATTTTTAAGAACAGTTGTCAAATCAGAATAATTATGATAGCGAAAATCAATTGCTTCATTTTTATTATACAATATTATCGATACAAAAAGAAT